ATCCCCAGTCCTCCTTTAACTTTTTTTTTTTTTTTTTATGGCATCTGGCTAAATTGCTAAAGAGTCTTTCTAAGTTGCTAAGACTGGCCTCAAACTTCTGATCTTTATGCCTCAAGCCCCTGAGTCACTGGGATTACAGTTGTATGCCCTGGTTCATTTTATCTTTTAATATATGAGATAGAGAAACTGTTCAGTTCAAATTGTCTGTTTAGCAGAGGGTTTATCACTTTGCTAAGCTTGTACAAGTTGAGTAATCATTATGTAAAATGCTTAGAACCACAGTTTTTTTTTAGAGTTGGGTGTTTTCAGATTTTTTAATAGTTGCATATACATAATAAGGTATCTTAGAGATGGGGCCCAAATGTAATATATACACATTTTGTATACATAGCCTTAAAATAATTTTATAAATTACTTTCAGTATGCCTGCATTTTGCCCATGATCTGTCACATGAGGTCAAGTGTTGATTTTCCACTGATGGTGTCATGTCAGCTCCCAAAGTTTTAGACTTCGTTATTGGTTTTGGTGCTAGGGTAAATTTTAGACTTTGGTGAATTTCAGATTTCTGACTTTCAGAAATGTTTTGTTCCTGACTGTTTCCAGCCATTAGGATGAGTAGTCTAAATCTAAATTTCCATTTCTTCACATATCTGCCCTCTGAAATCAACACTCTGCTGATACTGCTTCTATTCAGATCACAAATGACCTCCTTTTTGCTGAACTTCAGTGGTTCCATTTGTTTTTATTTTTGTTTTATTTTTTTCCCAGTGGTTACATTTGTTATCAGAAATGTTTTTTTTATTTGGCTGGACACTGTCAGCCATTCATTCTTATCTTCCTGAAACCCTCTCCTTGCATGTTGTGGCACCTGTCTTTTATTTCCTTCCTGCCTCTGTCAGAGATCCTTCTCATTCGTCTTTCTAGATGACTCTTCCTTTGACTAATTTTACTTTGTTGGCATTCACCAGTCTTTATGCCTGATGCAATCCAACTTCAACATGTAAGTCTCAGCTCAGACCTCTTTTCTTAGCATCTGGCCTGTGTCCAGCCCTTTCCTGGACATGTTTACAGAATTATGGATGCCTCCCTTCCCAATATCTAGTCATTTCCATGGCCATAATGATGTAACATCAGTTTAACAGTTTGGCAAACAACCGCTACCTTCATCTCCCCACTGTTATTGCTAGTACCACCTTAAAATTATGCCATAGTCCCTGTCTTGGACTCCATGCCTGCAGGTGCCCCACTGTGGCTTTTCTTTAGGCTCATYATTCATTGAGGGGTGAGGAGTTTATAAGACCAAGGAGATACACCTGCCCTGTTCACCTCCTTCTAGTCTGTGCTAGCTGTTACACAAGACCCCACAAATTCCTGCATCAGGCTGCTTTCCCAGACCAATTTTTCCAAGGGTAGACTGAATCCTTAGTGTGTATGTCTAGGCCCTAGGGGTAGCTAAGGGACAGATGTTTGAAAGGGAACAGCTGGAGCTTAGGTAAAGCCTGGACCCATAGCTACATACACATACATGCAAAGCCCTTGATATTATAGACCAGAGCTAGAGGTTGAAGAGAAGGACATGCAGGGACCTGCATTTGTATTCTTTGTCTAGGCCCCACAAGCATTAGGGCAGGCCTAATTATTGCCTTATTTTTCCTTATGTTCCTGATACAGGCTGATAGGTCATTCTTCACCTATTTTTAGAGATTTTTTTTAAAAAATAGATATTTTTTTTTAGTTGAAGTTGGACACAATATCTTTATTTTTAGTGGTGCTGAGGATCGAACCCAGGGCCTCGCATGTGCTAGGCGCTCTACTGCTGAGCCACAATTCCAGCCCCTACTTTTAGGGATTCTTAAAAGCAAGGACTTTGGCTTTTAATTTTTCTATATCCACATACCTATCACAGTACCTACCCAACACAAAGACAATACTTAATACATGTTTGTTGAGAGAGTAAGTAATAAATGCAGTTTATATTAAACATTTTATTATTTCATTTCCTTTGTTGTCATTTTAAAGAGTTTTTGGTAGCCAGGCACAGTAGTACAAACCTGCAATATTAGCTGTTCAGGAGGCTAAAGCAGGAGGATCAGATCAAGCCAGGCCAGACTATGAAAATTCATGAGACTCTGTCACAAAAGGGCTGGGATGTAGCTCAGAGGTGTAGAGCATTTTCCTAGCATGTACAAGTTCCAGGGGTTGTAAAAAGAAAGTTTATAGTAATATCTAATAACTAGATGACTTTATTTTATTATGCCTTAAGGTCAGCATTTTTCTAGAAATACATCTCTAAATTTGCATTGCCATTAAATGGAAAATGTAGATTTTATATATTCAACAATTTTATTTTAAATATATTTTTACAAATTTATTTTATAAAATTGGATAATTTAATGGCAAGGAATAACAAATAGTATCTGACATATATGCAAATCTTGATATTACAAATGAATGTACCATTACAGTTACTAGAACAACAGTGCTTTTGGTCAGTTATATCCGTAACTGCCAAGTCCTAAGATGCTCTGTGGTATAGGTCTAAGGAATAGGACTATGTTTTGGAAAACTTCAAGATGCTGGGAAGAATGGAACTCAATTTACCTACCAGGTTTTTCATTAATTTAGTGGGTAACCCCAAGATCCCATAGACCTCTGTTCAACTGAGCTCATTTATGAAGAGTACATGTGTATATGATTACTTTTAATGCAAAATGCATATAATTATTTAATAATAGAAACTTTTAAACACCAAGTCAACTTGTTTTACTTCCTGAGATGACCCTTTACTCTGCTAATTCATGTGCTCTAGGTTAGCTTCCTGAGTTTGTAGTTCATAGACCTCTAAACTTAAAACCCATCTACAATGACACTAGTGCTCTACCTTCTGTGGACATTACGTTAGCATATGTGTCATGTTGAGAGATATTCTGATCTGAGAATGAGTAAACTGGTCTTACTTGGCCCTTAAGTTGTCTCACATGCACACATTCTATGACTTGTGTTTGATGCTTAGTCTATTCATGATTGTACTGAGAGGTAACAAAGAGTTAAGTCTGCACAGTAGTTGGAGTTTTATACCTTAACCCTGATAATTCATACTATCTTTGTTTTTTGTTGTTATTTTTTTTAATAAGTTATACTCTATATATGAATACCTTTAATTTGTTTATTTTATTTATTTATTTATTTTGTGGTGGTGAGGATTGAACTCAGTGCCTCACATGTGCTAGGTGAGCACTCTACCAGTGAGTCACAACCTCAGCCCCTGTTTGTTGTTTTTGATAGATTATTTCTTCCATGTTCTCCTTTACCCTTGACAGTTTTAGGCATAATAAACTTTACTCATTCTAATCCTTCTTCTAGATGAGTCTTTCAAGAACACCCTATTAAAAGTATTAAATAGAAAAGAAGTTGCCTTTATGAGCCATCATGCTCTGATTGTCGTGCCATCATAAGTCATAAGTTAGGACCACTTAAGACTTTGCTTCAAGAATATTTCAAATGATGAATTGTGGTGGGGCATCATGAGATCCACTGGCTTTTGGAGGAACTATTTGATTTCAGAAACAGTTTAAAATCATTTCTATCATCTAGAAAATTGTTCTCTTTACATGAGAAGATTTTAAAATCTCTCCCATTTTCTTAATTTAATAACATTAATGATACTTGGAGATATTTTACTTTCACATAATTTTCCAACATGTATGATGATATGGGCAGATCTAAGTGACATATTTTACTTCTCACTCATTTCTACATTAGGGCCCTACCTCTCCCCATAAGTTTGTGATTTCTTTCTGCATTCATAAAATGTTTTATCTGAGTGACTTAAGCTGCCAATAAAAAAATATATATGAGACTCACACGCTGCTTAAAAAGCTGAACAATAGCTGGACATGGTGACAGTAATCTTAGTGTCATAAAAATGTCAGCTATATTGTCCCTTCCCTTTCCTCTAACTCCATGGCAAAAGAGTTTGACCATATTCCATTTCTTGTCTAGACTTTTTTTTTTTTTTTAATTTAAGACTTCTTTTTTCCTTCAAGTCTTCTCTTGAATGTGAAGGTGTATGTTACGGGTAGCAGGAGCAATGGGGCAAAGGGTTTTGTCAGCAAGGCATAAGAGTGTTAAGTAGACTATTGAGAAAAGATGAACAAAAGAACAAATGGAAGGAAAACAAGAAAATACTAGTCACTAAAATCAGAATCAGAGTATTAAGACTGAAAGTATGTATGCATATGTTCAATCCAACACAAAGATTTGTCTTACCAGGTGCTCAAGAAATACATGTGGAATTTAAATTCATCTCTTGATTTTATGGGAGAAGACATGGAATTCCACCAAAGTTATATATTTCCTAGGGTCATTTACTAGCTGGTTATAGAACTCAGCTGGAACCCAGGTCCTCTGATCCTCAACCAATTTCTTTGCTATAAGAAGATACTACATTTACTTTTTCCCCCAGTACCTAGAAAAGGGTAGGTATGAAGTGTTGAGCTCAGTTGTGTCCAGTGGCACTTATTATGTCTATTAACAAGTGGCAAGCTAGTAGATAGAGCACATATTTTGGAGTCTGACCTGGGTCTAAATTTTAGTTGTGTCTGTTGGTACTTGGGCAAGTTTCTTAATCTTTCCAAGCTTAAGCTTTTATGTTTCAATAAATGGGGAAAACAATTGACATTATTGTTTTCACATTATTGTTATGACAATCAAATGAGCCAAGGCTATAGTAAGTATTTAGTTTTGTATGAGGCATAAATCAGGGGATTCAGTAAATATTTGTGAAATAAATAAATGGCAACTATTACTGTATTTGATCTCTCTCGTGGAGGATTAACAAAACTTTTAAGTAATGTCAGCTTACCTTTTAGTGCGTTTTATGCTTTACAGAGATCTGTTTTTATTGCCATAGTGAAATTGCTATTTGGCTAATTTCTTCCTGTCTTGGTAAATGCCTGCTTCATATACCTCACATCATCTTAATTGTTTTAAATTCCAGATTAATCCATGGAGGACAGATGTTAAATGGATTGGCAGGTCCAACTGTAATGAATGCGGCACCATTCCTCTCCACAACCTGGTTTTCTGCGGATGAACGGGCCACTGCCACAGCGATTGCTTCCATGCTCAGTTATCTGGGTGGGGCATGTGCATTTTTAGTTGGACCTCTTGTTGTTCCAGCTCCCAATGGGACTTCACCTCTTCTTACTGCAGAGAGCAGCAGGGCTCATATTAAAGACAGCATTGAGACTGTGTTGTATGCAGGTAATTTGAAATCTTTTCCTGTTTATACTTTAGTCTACTCTTTGTATACCAGATCACCTCAAATGAAATAGTTAGAAGGACTGACATATGCTAATGCACATAATGTGCTTTCATTGTTTTATAATATGGAGATGCCTATTTAAAACCTACAGCCTTCCTGGGAAGTTACTAAATTTAACATATATTCTTGATACACAGTAGATCTTTCTTAATTTTACTCTTTACATTTGTTTACATTGAAGTATTACATAACACATATTCTAATGTCTTTTCTAAATATCATACCCAGTTTGTAAAACTACACATCATGGTTGACTACAAACATTTGTCAAGCATAATTGGTAGCTTTTAAACCYATTTTCTCCCTTGCAATTTTTCCATTATTTGTCCTGTTCTCAATCATATTAACCTTGATTGCCTGTAGTTTGTTTGCTTGTTTCTTTTCAAACAGATGTCACTGTGTTACCCAGGCTGGACTCAAGCCATCTTCCCACCTCACCTTACTAAGATCTAGAACCTAGGCATGCATTGCCATGACCTAGATTATTCTTTTCTCTCTCTCTCTCCCCCTCCCTCCCTCCCTCTCTCTCTCTCTCTCTCTCTCTCTCTCTCTCTCTCTCTCTCTATTAATTAGGGATATTGACTTTTCCAAAACATTCTCTTTGGACCTTTTTGTTTCTGAAGTTGAGTCCCAGGCCACCCTATTACAGTACCCTATAGATCTTCTTAAATCTGTTCTATTTTCTAGCTGTTTATTGTTTTTTTTTTTTTTTGCATAAAGAATACTTCTTATAAGAGTTTTCTATATAACAATCACTGTGCTAAGAAGTAGGAATTGTTGAGATCAATGAGGAGACAATTATGATACAAATAAGGCTATACAGAGATAGGAAGACTAATTTGCCTGGGTTTGGAGAGAAGTTGAAGAGTCAAAGAAGGCTTCACCAAGATGTAATAATTCAGAAAAATTAGGAATTTTATACGAGTTCACTGACTAGTCAGGTAGGCCAGGGTATTCTATACAGGGAGAATGGCACTGCAAAGTCAGAGAAGGTATGCGAGAGCTCAGCATGTCCAGGACACTACATATAATTTAATATAGCTGTAGTGGTGTGAATTTGTGTTTGAGTATTGGTAGCAAGTGGTAGGAAATGAGGCTGGAAAGAAAAGGGAACAGATTATGCCAAGCTTTGTCTTAACTTGTATATGCACTTATGAATTTAACAAACATTTTGAGCTCTTGTGTATTTGTCATTGTGCTAGGCACTGAGGTAGATATGGTTCCTGGTCCAACAGACCTTTTGATATCCTGAAGAATACAGAGAGGCAAATAAACAGTTGTAGAACAGAATGCTGGGCATTAGTTGCTCTAACAGCTTGAAGGAGATGTGCCTAGCTCACATTTTGGTTGTGAAGTAGTTTCCTAGAGATGCAGCATCCAAGATTTCTAAGGGATGAGACTTAACCAAATAGAGTGAGTAGAAGGAAGAATAAAATAGAACCATGAAGAAGAAGCCCAATGAAGTGACAGAACCTGGTACRTTCAAGCTACTGAAAGCCCAGAATGGCTTAGATCTGGTGAGAACAGTGATAGGAGAAACTAGAGAGGGAAGCCAGGACATGAGACCTCAAGCAGGGGTAAAGAAAAGGTTTGAAGTTCACCGTGGTGTAGGCAAAGACCATACTCTGAAGTTTACATCAGATTTACATTTCAAAATCTGGTATTTCTTCTAAAGAATAAAACTGAAAGTAGGGGTAGTGGCAGTATAGAAAGTATTTAACCCTTGTTGTCTACAGACTCCTCTCCTTTTGAAGAAAAAAACTGAAAATGTAAAACTACATACATACACAAGGAAACCTAAAAACAGAAAACATAAGTTTTAAAACTTCATGTTAGTAATATCATTCATTTCATTGAAAACCTAAGCCATGATTGTATCTTTTAAATATCTGAGTTTTAGACACCATTAGGCGTGTATTAATGCCCTGCATTTACCTGGTTCAGGGCTCCCATGCAGTCAGGAGGAAGCCCTTGCTCACAGCTTCCAGTCACTTCCTCAGTGCTTTCACACCTTTTCAGTCTCCCAGTCTGCCTTTCTGAAATATTGCCCCATGAATCTTCAGTATGTTAAAAATACTTTTGCTAGAATTGCTGCCTCAAATAGTTAGAGACTCTTAAATTATTCTAGGTAAGAGCACATAAGAAAATTAAGCTACAGACCAAGATCTCTTAGGAATATAGACACAAAGGTCTTAGACAAAATACTAGCAAACCAAATCCATCAGCTTATAAAAAGTATGGTATACCATGATCAAGTAGGATTCATCCCAGAAATACAAGATTGACTTAACATTCAAAACTCAATTAATGTTATATGTCATATCAATAGAATACAGGGGGAAATGTGCTCATATGAAGAGATAAAGAAAAAGGTTTTACAGATCCAGTGTCCTTTCAAAATAAAACAATCAACAAACTAGGAATAGACAGRCATTCCCTCAACCTAATAAAAAATATACAAAAAACACAAATGCAGTATATTTAATTGTCAGATACTGAAAGCAGACCCCTAAGATCAGAAACAAGACAAGCATGTCCACTCTTAGCACCTCTGTTTATCATTGTGTTGGAGGTTCTACCCAATATCACTGGGCAAGAAAAAAGAAATTTAAATGTAACCAGATTGGAAAGAAAGGAGGGGGGAAAAGGAAATTTTTGAAAAATACATGATTTTAAATATAGAAAAATTATCTGGAATTCACTACCAAACTGTTAGATCTAAAAGATGAGTTCAGCAAGATTTTACAAGATTAATGTGTAAAATCGATTAATTGTTCAGTAGCAATGATCAACCCAAACATGAAATTAGGAAAATAATTTATAATACTATCAATAATATAATATGTTTAGGAGTAAATTTAACAAATCTATAGCATACTCTAAAGACTACAAAACAGCATTGAAAGAAATTAAAGGCCTTCAAAATAGAAAGTCATCCCATGTTCGTGGGTTGGAAAGCTTAATACTGAAAAAATATTCTCAAATTTATCTACAAACTTGGTGCACCCCTATTAAAATCCCAGCTGCCTTTGTTGCAGAAATTGATGGAAATGCAAGGGACCAGGAATAGCCAAAACAATCTTGAAAAAGGTGTTGGACAACTCATGTTTCTCAATTTTAAAACTGAGACAGGAGGATCGAGAATTCAAAGCCAGCCTCAGCAACTTAATGATCCCCCAAGCAACTCAACAAGACCGTGTCTCTAAAAAAAATTTTTTTTTAAAGTCTGGGGACACTGAGGAAGAATAGTATTACCTTAGAAAAGGTAAGAGGGGATGTGGCTCAAGCGGTAGCGCGCTCCCCTCGTATGCGTGCGGCCCGGGTTCGATCCTCAGCACCACATACCAACAAAGATGTTGTGTCCGCCGAGAACTAAAAAATAAATATTAAAAAATTCTCTCTCTCTCTCTCTCTCTCCTCTCTCACTCTCTTTAAAAAAAAAAAAAGTTATATATGACAGTGGAATGCATTACAATTCTTAAAAAAAAAAAAAAAAAGAAAAGGTAAGAGCACATAAGAAGGGTTAAGGAGGGGATGTGGGGGTAGGAAAGACTGTAGAATGAAACAAACATATTACTGTATGTACATGTGTGACTATATGACCAATGATTCTGCAACATGTACTCTCAGAAAAATGAGAAATTTTGTCCCATCTATGTATGATAAATCAAAGTGCATAAATGCATTCTGTCATGTATAACTAATTAAAACAAATTTWAAAATTTTAAAAAATAAAAATCTTATGATTCATCTTTCCATTTAAAAATAAGAAAGGGCTGGGAATGTAGCTAAGTGGTTAAGTGCCCCTGGGTTCAATCCCTGGTACAAAGATAGATAGATAAATAAATAAATAAATACCTAATTCAAGTACAAAACTAATCAAGACATCATGGTATTGACAACTATAAAAAGTATAGTACTGATTCATGCTCCAACATGGATGACCCTTGAAAACATGCTGATTGAAAGATGCCACTCACAAAAGACCGGATATTCTATGATCACTTAAATGAAATATCCTAATACTCAAGTCCGTAAAGACTAAAAATAGGTTAATGATTGTCTAGAGCTGGGAGATTTGGAATTAATGGGTTATAGGGTTTCTTTAGGAGATGATCAAAAAATTCTAAAATTGAGCTGGGCATAGTGGCACATGCCTATAATCCCAGTGGCTCGGGAGGCTGTTGCAGGAGAATTGAGTTTAAAGCCAGTCTCAGCAAAAGGGAGGTGCTAAGCAACTCAGTGAGACCCTGTCTCTAAATAAAATACAAATTAGGAGCTGGGGATTTGGCTCAGTGGTCAGGTGCCCCTGAGTTCAATCCCAGATACCTGCCCTCCCCCAAATTCTAAAATTATAATGGTTGTACTGTTATATAAATGTACTAAAAACCATTGGACTGTGTACTTTAATGTGTGAATCGTATTTTATATGAATTATATCCCATGAAATTGTTTACAAAAATGTCTATAGAAAAATGGTCAATGAGGCTGGGGTTGTGGCTCAGTGGTGGAGTGCTTGATACATGTGTGAGGCACTGGGTTCGATCCTCAGCACCATATTAAAAAAATAAATAAAGTGAAGGTATTGTGTTCATATACAACTGAAAACATTTAAAAAAAGAAAGATGGTCAAAGAATATGAATGAGRATATCACAGAAGAACAAATATAAATAACTAATAAGTATATTCAAGATGCTCAGTGTTACTAATAATTAAAAGAAAGAACTGTAAGGTAAAATAACTCATTAACTTCTTGTTGCTCTTTAGATTGACAAAGAATAAAGAGATTGAGAATTCCAAAAAAATTTAGTAACAATCTTGTCTTTCAGAATTAGGAATCTATAAATTTACAATTGAATTAACTAAAATGATATATGGTTAAGTGTCTTATAGAATTATTGTCCCTTTTCCTAAGAAAATATCCCTAGAAATAGAATTATCCACAGAAAAGACCCCTAGAAACCACTAAGTCAACTCCCTTTACTGGGATTCACTTGTGTTACTAGTCAGTTAATGGCACAGATGAGTCTGTCATCTAAGTTTCCAGCATTTTTATTAATGCTGTGCTTTTCTACTTAAAATTGGGCACAGGTAACAAAATCTGTGCTGTGGAGGGAAGAATTGAGAGTCCTAAGAACTTTCCCTTTTGTAATGAGGCCAAATTAGTATGGTTTGACTATTCATTTTACTTCTGATTAATATTTAGCTAGACTACTTGAATCTAATGTATGAAATATGATATGTCAAAAGCTTTGTAATGATGTGAACAACCAATAAAAAAAATAAAAAAAATATTTAGCTAGACTTATTAAAATACTCATTAAATATTTTTATTTAGCTAAGCTTGTCCTTTAATTTGCTGCCTCTTGGTTTCTTTTTTTCTTTTAATATTTTTAGGTATAAGATGGACACATACCTTTATTTTGTTTATTTAATTTTTTTATGTGGTGCTGGGGATCGAATCCAGTGCCTCATGCATAGAGCAAGTGCTCTATCACTGAGCCACAACCCCAGCCCCTGGTTTCTTATTTATTTCTTGTCTTGTTCAGTTTTCCTGTACTGTCTATAAATTGGATCTGTCCTACATATGGATCAGAAATCCTATCCTTGATCAAACAAATGTTCTATTCTATTTTTGCCAAATTTCTTTCATATTCTTTCTTTCTGAGTACCATACTTATAGACAACCATCTTAGACCTCTTTTATAGTAAGATGTTGTTGGTTTGAATGAGATTTCTCTGTAGAGTAACAGTTGTGTATTCCCTTGATCTTTTTGACTATGTGCTGTATCGTTGGACTACCATGCTTCTTTATTTATAGCCTGACTTCTTTTTTTTTTTTCTTTTAAGAGAGAGTGAGAGAGAGAGACAGAGAGAATTTTAATATTTATTTTTTCTTAGTTCTCGGTGGACACAACATCTTCGTTTGTATGTGGTGCTGAGGATCGAACCCGGGCCGAACGCACGCTAGGCGAGCGCGCTACCGCTTGAGCCACATCCCCAGCCCCTATAGCCTGACTTCTTACCTGTGACCTGCTGAACTTTGTATCTGTACATATCTGTCTTTCCCACTAGACTGAGCTATCTTGGCTAGGTGCTATGTTTTGCCTATTTTTATATATCTAGGACTTATTTGATGCCCAGTAAATATTTGTTAAATAAATAAATACTTGAAGTATTCAACTTTTTGTGTCACTGGTTAACACTTTATTAATTTTTTTTCTTTCAGAATTTGGAGTTGTCTGCTTAATATTCTCTGCAACACTAGCTTACTTCCCACCCCGGCCTCCTCTTCCTCCCAGTGTTGCTGCAGCTAGCCAGAGGCTAAGTTATCGACGCAGCTTTTGTAGGCTATTAAGGTAAATATACTTGTGGTCATTGGTGGGTAGTGACTGGCACCTCAATATAATTCCATTTTTTTAAAAGATAATTTGAGATAGTAATTTTCAGCAACCATTAATCAGTTTATAATTAATAAAATACTCATTAAATATTTTTATTTCCTATGAGAAATCTATCTTGAAAAATCACCCAAAACAAAACCTCTCTAATTTTTGCCTATCTACATACTACCTATAGTGTTATTTATTTACTGTGTTTAAAATAAAATCTTTTTTAAGTAATTTTCTTTTATAAAGAAACTTATACTGGGGGCTGGGGATATAGCTCATTTGGTAGAGTGCTTGCCTTGCATGGCAAGGCCCTGGGTTCATCCCCTGCACCAGCAAAAAAAAGAAAAAAAGAATCTTATACAGTAGTGTCCATGAAAGTATGGGTTTATGTATTTATTATGTTTTTCTAATATGGAGATTATTTTATTCATTATGTATTCGTCAATGCAAAATGAATAAAATAAACAATATTATTCCTGTATTACCTAAAGTCTTCTCATGTGCCACCAGTAGGATCACACTTTAAGAAACTTATTAATGTATTTTTTTTTAATTTTATTGGCATAACTTAAATGTAGTTAGGTAAATTCTACCCTTGAAAGCTCAAATGATTTGATTCTTAAAAGCTAAATTTGATTCTTGGGAGGCATAGAACATCACCATTGATTATGATTTGTAGTTGCACTTTTGAACTTACTTTTAGAACATCAGCAGCTCTCTCTGGTTGGTTCTTTCTTTTCTTCTTTCCCCTCAGATGGTAAATTCCTCTATAATACTACTATCCAATATAGGAATATAGGAATATAATTTGATTCACAATGAGAATATGAATATAATTTGAATCACGTATGTAATCTTTAATTTTTCTAGTAGTCTCCTTTTAAAAAGATAGAGACAAATAAAGATAATGTGTAGCATATTGTACTCAATCCACTATATCTAAAACATCATTTTAACATGTAATCAGTATTAATGATTGAGATATTTGACATTCTCATATTTACACAATACTCTAATATCCAGTGTGTATTTTTCCCTTATAGCACATTTCAGTTTGGACACTAAATTTTTATTGGAGTATTTGATATTTATTTGGATGTCATTAAATTTACAATTGAAAAGTATTCATTGAACAGATTTTCCCATTTTGCACTAAATTGAAAATAAGTAATTACATTTTAAAATTTGAATTAACACAACTTTGATATTATAGAATAGTCTCAAATTCTATAGACAGTTGTTCAGAGCTTAATTGAAGATCTGTCACTTCTATAGGATATAGTTTTTTCCTCATAATTTTTAACAAAATTTCCATAGCTTAAATAACATTTTCATCTCTCCATTGAGAAATGGTTTTCTTTTTGTATAAAAATCCAAACCATTTTATAGCTTACCAAAATTATAAGCTCAAATCTGTTAAAAATTTGTTTTAGAATGTTTGTTGGACATTTAATTCTGATTTCCAGCAACTAATTTTCTTAATACTTTTTTAACTGTTGAAAAGAAACTTCTCATGCATTTGCTGAGAATGTCTCTCTTTTTGTGTTTTTATTAGTGCATTATAATTATACATAATACTAGGGCTCATTGTGACATATTAATATGTAACATAATTTGCTCCATATCCTTCCCTCGTACCTATCCCTTTTCCTGCCCTCTTCCCTCCCCCAACCCTCTTTCTCTACACTACTAGTCTACCTTCCATTTATTTTTTAAATTGATGCATTATAATTATACATAAAAATAGGGTTCATTGTGCTATATTCATACATGCATGCACATAGCATAATTTGGTTGTTCTATATCTAACATAGATAGATATAGATACACACATGCACACACATATAAAATGGCTCTTAATATTGTCCACTTAAGTAACTTAAATATTTTTTCTCACATCAGACATTTCATTTTGTTCTGCTTCAGCAAATTGCAATTGTCATTCATGGTGAAATTTTCAACATGGCTTTTTCCATTCTAGTCTCATATTTTCTTTCTACATGAAATATTCAATTGAGCAAATTATAAAGTTATATTAGTGTGTATGAAAAAATAATTGGAACTGAATCAGTTCATTGACACCAGGGAGATTGGAACTGAATCAGTTCATTGACACCAGGGAGATCAGTGGTGTGTAATGACACTAGAAAACTCAGGTGCCAGTGTGCTCACTCTGCCTTATGTATTGCAGCTGGTAAAGTGAAACATAGTTCTACTACAAAATGCAGTTTGGGGGGCTGGTAATGTAGCTCAGTGGCAGAGCACTTGTCTAGTGTTACAAAGCCCTGAATTTGCCAACACCACAAAAAATAAAATAAATTAAAAAAAAAGATTTTTTAGTGGAAAAATACTTTTTAATCCATGTTTTAAAACTTAGACTTAAATTAGGCAAGATGAGATCAAATTTTAAAATTTCTCCTCAGTTACCCTAGCCACATTTCATTATTTTTCAAACTTTGGTTCATAGCTAAATGATTTGGTGAATTGACCGTTACTTTTTTTAAACAAAGTGGAGTGGAACACAAGAAATATTTTTTTTTCTTTTTAGAGGTATCAGGGATTAAGCTCAGGGGCACTTGACCACTGAGCCATGTCCCCAGCCCTTTTTTGTATTTGATTTTTAAACATGGTCTCACTGAGCTGCTTAGTGCCTTGTTTTACTGAGGCTGGCTTTGAACTCTCCATCCTCCTGCCTCAGCCTCCTGAGCTGCTGGGATTACAGGTGTACACTACCTCGCCCAGCACAGAATAGAAAATATTGTATCACATGTAGTAAGAATATTTTTTGTGAGACTTTTGTTTCTGTATATAATGGGTAAGTCACAAAGCAAAAATAAATTTCTTATTCTGGCATACACTAAGAAGCTTTGAAAACCATTTCTCTATACCACCTGATACATTGCCTTCAACATAATAGACAAAAGAAAAATGTTAGTTAAGTTGAATTATGGTCAGTAATATACATTTGTAAAATGAGATTTTAAAATGGTTATTAAGAAAAACACACTATTTATCTAAATTTTTTCCATGCAAAGCCAGCAGCAGAAGTTTGATACAGTAGACAAAGCTAGAGAGTTAGATGGTAGTCATATAATAGTAACTTCGAACTAATAATTTTGAACTATTCTGTGGGAAATAGGAGTCAATAAAGGCTTTTAAGCTTACTCAATTAGATACAAGATTTTTCTGACACAGAAGGAACAATAAATTATCCCTCTGACCACAGTATACCTGTGTTAGCTTCTAATTATCCAAGAATCAAGATCCTCATTCTGTGTTTGAACCTAAAGTATAATATCTTTCTGCTCCATAAAAAAACCTTTTTCACCAATGCCTGACCTACCTTTCTCTCTTCCCATTTGGTCTGTAACTTCTCCATTGCTACCTCTGCATCCTCCAGAGGAGGTCTGTGGGCCTGCCTTGCCCAGTTCCCTTATCTATAGTATTAATTTTCCCTGAACTTTTCAAAGAACTTCCTGAATTAATCAAAATAACTGCCTCTCTAAATTTGACACATGACTGTAGAGTGTATTTTGACAAAAAAGAAAAACCATCAACAAGTGTGCTCCATGTTTTTCACCACAATTATTTATTTAATGCCCATATGATTCCCTTCTCTTAATATGCTTTTAATCTGTATAACCTAATGTAAATATTCCTTTCCCTTTTTAGGTTGGTGTCATGTTTGATGATAGTTGGGTTTTGCCTTTTAAACTTTAAGAGAAGAGCATTAAGTTGAACATGTTCTTTATTTCAGGGTACATAAACACATTTATTCATTTATTTTTCATTAACTCTTTTGTTTATATCTCCTACTCCCATCCCACTCCCTCTACCCAGGCCACCTCTCAAATGCCTTTATGTGCATCTCTTTTGTCTTTTTATATGCAATATATGTATTGTTTAGTATGGATCTATGTTTAATTTATTTAAATAATGGCATATTTTATATATCATTCCATTTTAATTTTTTCATTAAGCATTATATGAATTTTTTTTTTACTTTCTATTTTGAAATGTATGATAATATACAAGGTAGAATAGCATAACCCCCATATGCCCATTAGCCAATGTCTGTTATCAAATTGTGCAGCAAATTTTGTTCTATCTCTGCCTACCCTCTTCCCCTCTTCTTTGGAACAGATCATTTCATCCAGGTATATTTCAGTATGTACAATATATTTTAAAAATACAAGGATCCTTTTAGCATAAATATAGTGCCATTATCTTCCCCAAAAATTTTTTAATAATAATTGGCTAATACCAAATCAGTATTTAAATTTCCTATTATCTTATAAGTTTTGTTAACAGTTTGAGTCAAGATACAGAGTAGGTCCACATATTGCATTTGGTTCAAATGCCTTAAAATYTAAAGATTTCCTTTCCATTTCTCTCTCTCCCTCTTTTCATTATAACTTATTTGTTGAGGAGCTAGCTTTTTACAGTCTGGATTTTGTTGCTTGTCTCCTTGTGTAGTTTAACATGTTCCTCTGTCCTTTGTGTTTCCTGTAAATTGTTAGCCAGACCTATCTTCTGATTCCGGTTTAGTTTTTGATCTTCATGTGGACTGTTAGCAGATGAGGCTCCCTTCTTCCATGAGGAGGTATATGAGTTCTGCATAGTGATATGAGCTCTCTATTTTGAAGATAGGTCCCCCCCCACTGCTCTATTTGCATCTAGTTCTTTGTACTCCGTGATGTTAGTCTATCCCCCTATTCCCACTGTGTACCCAGATTGCGGGCAGTTTACTGCAGTGACACCCTCATACTTGTAACACAAGACCTGAGAATTTCCTTGGAAAGTAGACCCTGCAACAGGATTACAAGGTCATAGCATAGTCCAAGCTTAATTTTCTTGGTATTGCCATATTGGTCTCAAAGATGCCTGCTGAACTTGACATTATCCATTGTTCTAATTTTTGCCATTCTAAGATATAAACTAATATATCCCTTGTTTAATTTGCATTT